TTTTCCCACCTAAGTCATAGACCACCCTGAAATTTATCCAGTAACCCCCTAAGGGATCCATGGTTCCCAGGTCAGAACCCTTGTAAAATGTTCCTAGACTTTCCTCAATAATAAGTTAGTTATGAAGGGAACATGAAGGGTAACAGTCAGATACTGTTTCACTTCTAGAATTCATTCCCATGACCATATCTAAAAGAACACACCTAAAGCAACAGACACAATGACCCAACAGACATTCTGGTGGAAGAGTATCAAGTTTTCTGCAGGTTATGATCAGAATTCATGCCTTTCTCTCAGGAAATGAGGATAATGACCACAATAAAGCAGCCAAGCAACCCAGAAAGAAATTTGTTTGTTAGGGTCTTGAATTCTCAGGTGAGGTTCATTCCCGCAGGAGGCAGAGTCTCTATCACATCTTAAGGAATGTCATTTAAAAACAATAACAACAACAACAACAAATAGGACCCTTAGATCCTGATCCTGGTTGAACTTCTAATTGTCCTCAGCAGGAGAGCTTGAAATACAACCTTCTACATTGTTTCCTTAGGCATAAAACACATACAAAATCGCGTTTTAAAATGAGGACCCAAGTATTTTCTTACATTTCTTCAGATGGCAACAGGGTTCATCTTTATAATTCTATATATTGATTTGTACAGACTAAAACAATTAATCCACGAAGACCAATGATATAGTTTTGATGTCCCCTCCAAATCTCATGTTGAAAAATGATCCCCAGTGTTGGAGGTGGGGCCTGCCCTGCCCTGCCCTGCCCCCTCCTTCCCCCACCTCCCCTCCCCTCCCCTTTCTTTCTTTCTTGACAGGGCCTCACTCTGTCACCCAGGCTGGAGTGCAATGGTGTGATATCAGTTCACTGCAACTTCTGCCTCGTAGGTTTAAGAAATTCTCCTGTCTTTAGCCTCCTGACCAGCTGGGATTATAGGCAGGCACCACCATGCCAGGTTAATCTTAGTATTTTTAGTAGAGGTGGGGTTTTGCCATGTTAGCCAGGCTGGTCTCGAACTCAAGACCTTAAGTGTTCCAAGAGTTCCATCCCCCTCAGCCTCCCAAAATGCTGGAATTATAGGCATGAGCCACCGTGCCCAGCCAGGGATTTCTTTATAGCAATGTAATAACAGCCTAATTTAGAAAACTGGTACTGAGGGTCAAGCACTGCTATAAAGATAGCTGAAAATGTGGAAGCAGCTGTGGAACCAGGTAATAGGCAGAGAATAGAAGAGTTTGGAGGGCTCAGAAGAAAATAAGATGAGGGAAAGTTTGGAATGCCTTACAGACTGATTAAATGATTGTGAACAAATTGCTGACAATGACATGGGCAGTGACGTTCAGTCTGAAAATGTCTTAGATAGAAATGAGGAACTTACTGGGAAGGGAGCAAAGGGCACATGTGTCATGCCTTAACAAAGATCTGGGCTGCACTGTGTTCACACCCCAGGGATCTGTGGAAGTTTGAACTTGAGAGTGACAATTTAGGATATATCTGGCAGAAAAAATGTCTAGGCAGCAAAGCACTCAAGATGTAGCCTGGCTGCTTCTAACAGCCTACACTCTGATGTGGGAGTAAATAAATGACTTAAAGTTGGACCTTATATTTAAAGGGGAAGCAGAATATAAAGGTTTGGAAATTTGCAACCTGACCATGTGACAGAGAAAGGAAAAGTATTTCCACAGCCTGGGCAATATAGGGAAACTCTGTCTCTACGAAAAAAGTTAAAAATTAGCCAGGCGTGGTGGCACTTGCCTGAGTAGTCCTAGCTACTTGGGAGGCTGAGGCAGGAAAATCCCTTGAGCCCAGGAAGTCAAGGCTGCAGTGAGCTGTGATCATGCCACTGCACTCTAGCCTGGCAACAGAGTGAGACCCTGTCTCAAACACAAAACAAACAAAAGATTTTTATGGGGAGATAAATTCAAGTAGACTGTAGAGCAACCATTTCTAGAAAGAGTTGCATAACTAAAAAGGAGCCAAGTGCTGATAGTCAAGACAATCGGGAAAAGGCCTTGAAAGCATTCCAGAGATCTCTGAGGCAGCCCCTCCCATCACAGGCCCTGAGATCTAGGAGGACTAAGTGGTTTCAGGGACCAGGCCAGGGGCACCACTGCCCTGTGCTGTTTCCCACATCCCAGCTGCTCCAGCTCCAGCTGTGGCTCAAAGGGGCTCAGGCACAGCTTGGGCAACTCCTCTGGAAGGTGCAAGCCATAAGCTTTGGCAGCTTCCATCTGGTGTTAAGCCTCCAGGAACACAGAGTGCAAGAGTGAAGGAGGCTTCGCAACCTCTGCCTAGACTTCAGAGGATGTATGAGAAAAACCTGGTGTCCAGGCAGAAGCCTGCTGCAAGGGCAGAGCCGTCAAGAGAACCTCTACTAGGGCAGTGAGGAGGGGAAATGTGGAGCTGAAGGCTTCACACTGAGGCACTGCCTAGTGGAGTTGTGGGAAGAAGGCCACCATCCTCCAGACCCAAGAATGGTAGAGCCACCAACAGCTTGCAATCTCAGCATAAAAAAACTACAGGGGCGGAGCTTCCTAAGGCCTTGGGAGCCCACTTTTTGCACCAGCATGCTCTGGATGTGAGACACAGAGTGAAAGGAGATTATTTTGGAGTTCTATTATTTAATAACTGCCCTGTTGGGTTTCAGACTTCCTTGAGGCCTGTAGCCCCTTTCTTATGGCCAATTTCTCCCTTTTCATATGGGAATGTTTGCCCAATGCTGACACCCCCATTGTATCTTGGAAGGAAATAACTTGTTTTGATTCTATAGGCTTATAGGTGGAAGGAATTCATCTCTAGATGAGATTTGGGACTTAGAACTTTGAGTTAATGCTGGAATGAGTCAAGACTTTGGGGGACTATTGAGAAGGGATGATTATATTTTGACATGTGAGAAGGACATGTAATTTGGAGGCCAGGGGTGGAATGATATAGTTTGGATGTCCCCTCCAAATCTCACGATGAACTGTAATCGTCAGTGTTGGAGGTGGGGCCAGGTGGGAGGTGTTTGGGTCATAGAGGAGGATCCCTCATGATTTGGTGCTATCCTCACAATAGTGGGTGAGTTCTCACAAGATCTGGTTGTTGTAAAGTGTGGCACCTCCTCACCCCTTGCTCCCGCTCCTGCTTTCGCCATATAATGTGCCTGCTCCTGCTTTGCCTTCTGAAGGCTCCCTAGGCTTCCCCAGAAGCAGAGCAGAGCCAGTCTGCCATGTGTGTACAGCCTACAGAACTGAAAGCCAATTAAACCTCTTTTCTTTCTAAATTACCCAATCTCAGGTATTTTTTCTGTCTTTTTTTTTTTTTTGAGACAGAGTCTCGCTCTGTCTCCCAGGCTGGAGTGCTGTGGTGAGATCTCAGCTCACTACAACCTCTGCCTCCCAGGTTCAAATGATTCAGTCTCCCGAGTGTCTGGGACTACAGGTACGTGCCACCACGCCCAGCTAATTTTTTGTATTTTTAGTAGAGACGGGGTTTCACTGTGTTAGCCAGGATGGTCTCGATCTCCTGACCTCATGATCTGCTCAGCCTCCCAAAGTGCTGGGATTACAGGCGGGAGCCACTGGGCTTTAAAGTAATACAAAAATAGCTTAATCCAACTAATAGTAAGAGCGAACACTTAATTATCACTAATTATGTGCTAGGCACTAGTCTAAGCACTTTATAAATACTGATGCATTGACTCAATCTTCATAACAACCATGTGGAGGAGGTCCTATTTTTATCCCCATTTTATAGATAAGAAAACAAAAGCACAGAGAACTAGTAAATTGCAGAGGCAGGACTCAAAATGGGTCATCTGACTCGAGTCAGAGCATGAGCACCCAACGCAGAAACTACAATTTTTATCTCTGAATTCCCACCACTGAGAATAGTACTGATTCATGACACATGAAACAGTCAGCAATGATTTATTGAGCAATCGATTACAAAGAATTGCAAGGCATTTTTATCATTCAGCAGTTCTGAAGAAGAAAGATCTTATTGTCTGCTTCCTCTATTAATTTGTTTCTAGCATGGCAAGGAGAGACTTTATTGAAATGATTATTGTGCGGGGGAGGGAGGAGGTATTGTAATGGGGAAAGGGGAAGATTGTAACAGAAAATGCTCTGATTCAAGCATCTCCCTCCACTAATCATCTAAAAATGATTAAAGCAATTCCCCAGTGTTTGGAATTGGTGGTCACCAGCAAAGACTCTAACAGCCACGGCCAATTGCTTATAGCTTATACCCAGGATGGGTGGGAAAAAGGAGGGGGTAAGAAATAGAAAGATCTGTCCCAGACAACAGTGAATTCTGGAACTGATTTAAAAGTAGTTATGTGAGGAATGGAAATGGAGGGAGGCCATAAAAGTCACTTAAGAATATCAACGGGTAGCCGGGTGTGGTGGTGCTCATGCCTATAATCACAACACTTTGAGAGGCTGAGTCGGGAGGATCACTTCAGCCCAGGAGTTCGAGACCAGCCAGGGCAACATATCAAGACCTCATCTCTACAAAAAAAATTATCCAAGTATGGTGGTAAACACTTGTAATCCTAGCTACTCGGGAGCTGAGGCAGGAGGATCGCTTGAGCCCAGGAGTTGGAGGTGGCAGTGAGCTATGATTGCTCTACTGCACTCTAGCCTGGGCAACAAAGCCAGAACTTGTCTCTTAAAAGAAATAAAATTAAAAAAGAATATCAAGGGGCAACCTTAAAAGGGTCAGGGTGAGGAGTAACTCTTTATGGTTTCACAACCACAGTCTGCCAACTCAGGAGGAAGCCACTGCACTTAAAACACAACATGCGGAGACTTGGCCCAGTCCACAAAGCCATTCTCTGCTGAGGTGTCACACACACACATAAAAAACATCAGCAGCATTTCAGACAATGAAACTAGAACCTGTGCTCTCCACACAGCCCTGGAGCCCTGCTCTTGGGAAGAGCCAAGGACTCAAGCCACATTGGGGTCACTCTGCATTTCTTGCATGACAGGAGGCGGTCAAGACTCACCTGTAGGTATACGGCCCCACTTCTTCCACCCGAGGGGTCTCTCCTCTGAGGATCTCCTCTGGATTGGTGACGTTGAAGAAATAGAACTGAGTATACACAGGCAGAGGGGGCTTCTCCCAGGAGTCAAAGGCCTCGGTACCATTCCTTAACACAATATTCTAAGGAAGAAAACCAAAAGGAGATTTTCAAAAATGTAAGGCAGTAGTTGGTTTTGAACCCAAGAGGCAGAGGAAGGGACCCGACCTCTGAGATCATTATTTTAATCATTTCACAGGCATTCAATTGCAGTCTCCTGAGAATAGGGCCATATCTTACACCAATAGAGCCCACAGTTCTAAGTCATAGAAGGCCTTTGATAAATATTTGTAAAGGGGCCAGGCCTGGTAGCTCATGCCTGTAATCCCAGCACTTTGGGAGGCAGAGGTGGGTGGATCACTTGAGGTCAGGAGTTCGAGACCAGCTTAGCCAACATGGTGAATTCCTGTGTCTATTAAAAGAAATCAGCTGGGTGTGGTGGTCCATGCCTGTAATCCTGGCTACTCGGGAGGCTGAGGCAGCAGACTTGCTTGAACCCAGGAGGTGGAGGTTGCAGTGAACCAAGATCATGCCACTGCACTCCAGCCTGGGTGAGAGAGCAAGACTGTCTCAAAATAAATAAATAAATAAATATTTGTAAAGGAAAGGTACTAAAGACAATTCATGGGCGGAAGCACGAAGCATAGTGCGACCAAAACCTAGACCACAGATTGAGTGCCTAAAGGGCCTGCTGGTTTTGTTATTTTTGAAGCTTCCATGGATGGTAGAATCTTCTGTAGAAGTTAAGCTCTGCTGAAAAGCACCATACACTCCCGGTTTGCCCAGATGAGAGAAGAACAAGGGGAAGGGCCCAGGAAGGCCAGTTTTGGCCCTTCCCCTTCAAGTAGAACCACATCCATCCCTACTGCCTCCACCACCAGGAGCTTTAAATGTATTTTCTTATCAGACCCCCAAAAACCCTAAAATGTAATTGCCTATCCCTGTTTCAAAAACCAGGAGGCTGAGCCTCACTGAGGTTAGCTGCCAATGGAGACCGCACTCTGTGCACAATCCCTCCTTCACTTCCCTCCCCTGTTCTGTGTTATAGAATGAATAATGTCCCCAGGCTCTAAATTCCTATGCTGAAGTCCTAATCCCCAAGACTTCACAATGTGCCTGTATTTGGAGTCAGGGTCTTTACAGAGCTGATGAGGTTAAATGAGGTCATGATCTACTAGGACTGGTGTCCTTACTGGAGGAGGAAACTGAGACACAGACAAGCACAGAAGGAAGGCCACGTGAAAACACACAGGGCAGACAGCCCTCTACAAGCCAAAGAGACAGGCCTCAGAAGAAACCAACTCTGCCAACACCTCAATCTCAGACTTCCGACATCCATAACTATGAGACATATTTCTGTTGCCTAAGCCACCCAGTCTGTTGTATTTATTTGGGAAGCCCTAGCAAATTAATACACCACAGTTCCCCTAGAGGTGACTATTCTCCCTGCCTCACTGACTTCCGGCTAGGCCACGTGACTAGATTTGGCCAAGAGGATGTGGGTGGAATGGCAGGGCATCAATTTGGAGTGAAGGCCTTAAGATGCATGACAAGTTTCCATCTGCCATCTTGAAGTTGCCACCCTCGGCCAAGAGAATAGCAAGCCACAGGTAGCTGCTGATCCTTCAGCCTAGGTTCTAAAATGGAGACGTGCAGACTAGTCCTAAAGGTGACCAGAAGCCTGGAGTCTAGCCTTGTTCCACTGAGCCAGCTGAGCTCAAACTGCAGCCAGCCTGCACACCCACATATTACTGTTATAAGCAATGAGACTGGGGAGTCATTTGTTACTCACCATGGCAGCAGAGGCCTGATAAATACAATGCCTGAGGTTAACAGGCAGAAACCTAACACCTGGTATTCCCAATAGTCCTCCATCTGTTAATGGAGAAAAGCCTTGTATTTTTACAGTCAAAACGACTGAAGTACAAATTAAAATAAAAGCACAGACTGCAAATAAATAAACCAAAATGTGAGTTTTCAGTGTTAAGAATTTGTACCAGTTATAATTCAGGTCTGGATTAGGAGAAGTCTTACATTCACTGTTGCTTTTGTTTGGATTTTTACAACAGCAATAAATTACATAAGCAGGAAAAAAAATTTTTTTTCCCTTATCTTTTTTTTTTTTTAAGTGAATCTAAGAAACTCAGATTCTGTAAGATGTTATGGATAGACCCTAAGGCGGGGAGAAGGAGTGGATGCAAACAGAACCCACTTCATCTTGGCTTTCCTCCATTCTTGCAAAACAAAGGCGAGCCTGACGCTGCCTCAGCTGTGGTCAGCTCTGTGGCAGAGGCCCAGGAGCAGCCGCCCCCACTCTCGGCTCTACCACACTTCACTTCCTATTACTGTCAGGACACTTGAGTGAGCACTCTGTATTCCTGCCTAATTTTTCCTGACAGGCATCGTAATGTGTGCAATTTGCAGTTGAGAAAGGACTTGAGATCTCATTTATTTGTTCACGTGAAGAAAATCACATTAGAATTAGGAACCCTGAGATAATCAGCAAACTTAAATGAACAGATGGCTAACCTCCCGGGTTTATCTTGCTGGGCTTGCATCCAGCTCTTAAGCAACCGTAAATCCAACGACAAGTGGAAGAGTTTCCAGAAAGAGGCGGTTTCCAGAAGGAAGGGTAAACCTGGCTGTTCTGACATGTGTAAACAGTCTGACCTGATCTTGTTCCTCCGACTTTCAGGACAGAAATAAACATTTAGTATATTTGACTTCTTAATGAAACAAAGCAAATGAAAAACTAACAAGAACAATAAAAACAGTCCTTGACAACAGCATACCAGAGTCACAACCAATCCAGCTGTGTTACAGGCGGGGCTTCTCCTCTGTCTGCCTCCACTCCCCTGCCCCTTCTCTGGCCACTTCTTAGCTGAGTCAACGGCACCCAGACAAATTATCACAGCCCCTTGTACTCCGTTCAAATCTTGCCCTCAAGAATGGTGGCTTTTCCTGCTCCTTTCATGTGTCTCTTTTCTTCCACCTTACAAGCTGGATGTTTGTCAAGAAACCTCTGTCAATCCCAGAGTAGATCACGTGTTGGAGAGAGAGTGTGTGTGTGTGTGTGTGCGCACGCGTGCGCGCGCGCTCGCGTGCAAGTGCACTAAGTAGGGAGAGAGGGAATGAGAGAACAGAGGGAAGTTGTAAATACAGCTGTCAACATTTCTGAAACAGTTGTGTCTTTATTTTTGTTCTCTCACTTTCAGCTCAGAGAAGGACAGTTATCATTCAGTTACCATTACTACTACACCAGCTGCAATTTACTGTGAGTCTGCTAAAATCAGGTGCTGTACTAGGGGCTTTATAATGTGTATTACCTCTGAGTTTCACATTGATACTACAAAATAAAAAACCCCATTTTGCAGACAAAGAAATGGTGGCACTGGCTGTCTCAAGTCACAAAGCCAGTAAGTAAAATCAAATCTGACCAAGTCCAGGTCTGCAGGTTTGCAAAGCCCGTGCTCCACCATCCAGCAGCTGCCACCCCATGACACCCTGAGGGTAGAGTTGCCAGATTTAGCAAATGAAACCCGAGATACCCAGTTAAATTTGAATTTCAGATAAACAACAAATAATTTTATGATATAATTATGTCCCAAATATTGAATGGGCTATGTCAAAAATGCTTTTATTCATAGGAGATGCTTGCTGCAGGATTTAGGAACAAAGTATGTGTTATCTACAACTTACATTCAAATAATTCAAGAAAAAGTGCATCGGAGAGATAAAGTGAATATGACAGGATGTTAACAATTGATACATCGGACTGAACTGAAATATCACATGAGACAGACTTATGCTAAAATATTATTTGTTGTTTATCTGAAATTCAAATTTAATTGGGTGTCCTGTATTTTATTTGGCAACTCTAGCCCAGAGTGACAGCGATACTATGGAGAAGCCATAACTTCTGAACTCTCGGGACTCTGAACTCTCAGGGTTTCCTGGAGTGTCACCCCTGTCAAGTGGAGGAAAGGAAACCAGGCAGCTGCACGAGATCACAGTCAGCTCCTAGTCAGGAGCCCAAAGATGAGGAACCGAGAAAGGGAAAATTCAACTCCAGAGTTTCCAGGTGGCCGCGCAGCCCCAGTTATGTTAATGTGTCCAAAGAAAGCACCTCAACCTCCTGCCACAAGATGGTCCAGAGAGGGCTCTGTTTTGACTTAAATTTCTAATTTCTGCCCCTTCTCATTATCTTCAGAGCATTCAAGTGTGTACTCCCAGGAGCTTGCTCGGCAAAGGCAGGCCTGAGAAACCAACAAATAAAAACCTCAGCCTCAGGACCGCGGACTGTCTGGCACAGGAAGTCATTCATTCCACCAGATACAAGGAGCTAGTGTCCGGCTCAAAAGTGCCCTTTGCCAGTCTGAACAGAAAGCCATGGCTTGGGAACAACTGATCCTCCTCACCGAGGGTTCTGCTGTGATGGTGACAGCCACCAGACAAACCTTGTAATCAGCTGAGTCTTCCTAGTTACACTAAATGAAAAATCAGCATAAGGTCTTAAATCAGTTTTACAGTGTGACTCTGGATATTAAGACTGGCATTGTGGAGTCACAGTATAACTGTTGCTTATTGATTTTAACCAAGACAGGCATGATGGGTTTTTCCATGTACAATACTATGGCACTACCACTAAAACAAAATGCTGGAACATTATCAAGTTATACAGTAAATTCACAGTGTCAACACCTAAACTAATAATTTGGACTGAAAAACATACTTTTCAGTTAATCAGCCAATATGTACCTATTAAGAGCTTTCTATGTGCCCGGATTATGCCCTGCAAACTGGCATAGGCCCTGTTTGTAAGAAGAAATTTAGCTAAGGACACAAAACCAACACGCATGTAACAGGGAGTAAAAAATTATGTGCAAGACCCAGTAATTCAGCCTAGCAAACAGCTGACGCCTGAAATTATTTGGATCCTTCCAGTGGCATAGATCCGTGCTAAAATCTCCCCATCTGAACATCTCACAGGCTGCTCCAAGACAACATGACCAAAATGGACTCATGATTTTCTCCCCTAGTTGATCCCTAAGTCCTGCTGATTTCACCTCTCCTCTTCCCCATT